TAGTCATAAGGGAATAAATCATGCCCCATGAAACAGACTAAATCTCCACTATACTCAGACATGAGAGACAATTTGTTTCTAGATGAAAACATTATTAAGGAAATAAAGGAGTGACAAATCCCAGGACTCAAAGTAACAAGTATTTACGCTACTAGTCTTTGATTCTTTATTATCTCCAGGACACCTAATGAATCAAAATAACTTCCTGAGTTTGGAGAGGGAAAAATAAATCAGTGGAGGGAAATAAAAGCCTAAGTTCTGTATCACCAGAAGAAAAAGAGAAAGGAGAAGAGGGAAGAAAGACATTAGAAGTCATGGTATATATGAACATGGACCTGACAGAGAAAACCCCAGGCATCCATGAACAATGGGGAATTTTGTAATGTAGTGGTTGACACTGTTATGGGAAAAAGCAATTAATGAAAAGAAACTAACACGAATGATCAGGTTTACTTCCCTGGGAACAATATAACATACCTTCACAACACCTAATGGGTTCACAGCACAGGATATATGTGATCTTCTCAGATATATAACTAGAAAGTTTCCAAGTCTATGTGCAACAGACCTACAGAGAGAGAGAGAGACATCTTAGGCCAGAAGTTTATTGGAATTTTGTTTTTGTTTAGGGATACAGATGAATAAACTCCTTGGATGGAATTATGTTTCTTATACATAGATTCAGCAATATCTCATATCATAGAAATGGAGATAATGGGCCTCCAGACTGATAGCGGGGAATCCAGCATGGGACTGACTCAGACCCCCTGAACATGGGTCTCAGCTAGAAGGCCTGGGCAGTCTAAGGGACCTCGGACAATGGAACCAGGATGTATTCCTGGTGCACAAAAAAACTTTGGGGGCACATTCCCCATGGAGGGATAACTGCCTTAACCTAGAGACAGGAGAGAAGTCCTAGTCCCTACTCCAAATGACTTGACAGATTTAAATGACCCCTCCTGGAGGGCATCACCCTACATGTGGAGTGGGGGGATGGGAGAGGAGGGTAGTGGGGAGGCATGAGAAGGAGGGAGAGGGGGAAAGAGGGAGGGAGGGAGGGAAGGAAGAAAGGAGAGGGACTGGGATTGATATGTAAAATAAAAGTAAAAAATATAATCATGGGTATAAAATCAATAACAAAAGAACATGAAGAAGGAGGAGGAGAAGAAGGAGAAATGGAGGGCTCGAAGCCCAGAGGATCAAGGTTTTGGCTGAACTCTTTGAAAAAAAAATAACTCCCTTTATTGCATGTGCTGTGTTCTTTAATCTTGTGTGTTCTTTGAAATACACCTTCAGTCAGTTTGTAGAAAATTACATGAGCATCAAATGCTCTTTGAGATTCTCCTTTTGACACACCTAGAGACTGTACTCTTAGACTGTAATCACATTCCTCCAAAGAGAAAGTATTTTCAGATTCTAAGCCCCAACTCTGAAATAAAACATCTTAACTTCAAGAATTAAATGGGAGACATTAGAAAAGCCATATAGAAAAGTCAAGTCCAGGTACTGTGGGACTGGAAATATGTACTTGCTTCCTATTACTCTTGGAATGAATCACCACCAGCTTTATGGCTGAAACAGTACAGCAGTGTTATCTTCTCTTTGTGAGGTTTGAAACCAAATTAGATGTCATGAGTTCCAATACAGGAGTTGAGTTATTATGGTTGTATACCTACCCCAAGCAATAGAGAAAATCTACCTCCTAGCATTTTTGAACTTGTAGAACTGACCATATCCCTTGGTTCATGACTCTGTGCTATCCTGTGTTTTCCATCTTTCTCTGTCTTTGTGGGAGCTCTTTTTATGCTGGGCATAAGAGAGGTCTCTCCCTCTTGAGATTCCTAACTAGAAAACATGGTCAAAGCACATGGCAGACTTGCAAGAAAGTGTCTATATGAAACCCAGCATTATCTACAACAAATGTATGGCAATAACAATGGGGAAAGGTTAAAAGAGGGACAGGGCAGGCCAAAGTATAGAAGAGGAGACTGGTAAGCCATGGAATCAACAAAGGCATCAATAGAGAAATAAGAAAAATAGCAAACAATTCCAAAATAAGGCAGAATTAGTATCAAATAAAAAAGAAATTTGTCCAATGAATGTCTGGGGGAGGAGAGATCCGCTCATTAGTCTTCAAGGAAAATCAAATTAAGTCTTTAAGGAGAAAAAACTAAATAGCTACTCTGTTAGTCAGTGGTCCATCCCTGTGACAAAATGAGATAAACAACTTAGAAGGAAATGTCTATTTTAGCTCGTGGTTTCTGCAGTTTAAGTTCACAATTGTTTTGCCTTGTTGTTTTAGGCTTATGGTTGAAGCACTATATCATGGCGGAAACTTGGGAGAAATGAAAACTGGTTGCCACATGGTTATCAAGAAACAGAGACACAGAGATGAAAAAGACAAGCCCAAATATATATTTCAAACACATGCTTTCAATGACATCTTTCCTCCTACTTAACAGTACCACTGGTTGAGGAGCAAGCCTTCAACACATAAGCTCTGAGTGGACATTTATGATACACAATAAAAAAAAAATGGCTTACACTCCACACTGAAAACACCAAGTGTAGATAATACAATGTGAAGAATCAATTGTATGTTGTATACATCACTGCAACCTTAGGTGTGTAGTGTGTGTGTGTGTGTGTGTGTGTGGTATGTGTAGTGTGTGTGTGGTGTGTGTGTGTGTGATGTATGGTGTGTGTGTTTGTGTGTGTGGTGTGTAGTGTGTAGTGTGTATGTATGTGTGTGTGTTTGTGTGTGTGGTGTGTAGTGTGTAGTGTGTATGTATGTGTGTGTGTGTAGTGTGTGTGTATGTGTGTGTGTGGTGTATGGTGTGTGTGTTTGTGTGTGTGGTGTGTGTAGTGTGTGTGTGTGGTGTGTAGTGTATGTAGTGCGTGTGTAGTGTGTGTGTGTGGTGTATGGTATATGTGTGTGTGTGGTATGTAGTGTGTGTGTAGTGTGTGTATGTGTAGTGTGTGTGTATACACACATGTGTGCAGATATTGATGCATATGTGTACACATGGACAACCTCAGAATTCCTCAGGGAGCCACTCACCTCATTTTTGAGCTGGTCTCACATTGACCTGGAACTTGTTATCAAGCCCTGGATATCTGCTTGTGCCCTCCTCTACGGTCCTGAGATTACAAGCCCATGTCACTTTGCTCAGCATTCTTTACAAAGGTTCTGGGGATCCAACTTGGGTTCTCATGCTTGCATGACAAGCACTTTACAAATGACCTATCTGCCCAACACAGGCAGCCATTTTTTCTTTCAAAACACCTGGCACTGTGTACTAGGTTTTTTTTCCCTCTCTTTCTACAATTTGGAAACCAGAATTTCCCATCAAAGAATATATCTGCAAAAATCCACAAACTTGTAGACTAAGAAATAGACAAATCATCTTAAGAGCATAGATTCTCAAAAGTCTTACTGATTTAAATGATTTTAAAAACATGTGGAGCAGATGGGAGGTGGTGGAGGTGGAGGGAGGAGGAGGAGAGATGGGAGGGGAAACTGGGGTTGGAATGTAAAAAATAAATTAAGAAAAAAGAAAAAGAGCCCATCAAAGACACAAGGATTTTAAAAAATTAAGGTCTTGCCATGCAATGGGCATTAATAGATTGTAGCCTTATCATACAATTATATGAAATGATTGAGTAAATGAAAAAGAAATGACTACTAAATCCAACATTGTCATTAAATCTCACAAATATAATTTTGAGCAAAAGAAAATGAACCACATGAGTAATATAATTTCATTTTTGATAAAATTCAAAAGTTGACACACTGTGATAGCAAAACCATGCACTGACTGCCTCATATTTCTACTAAACACACACACACACACACACACACACACACACACACACACACACACACACACACACAGGCTCATGATATGAAGAATGGACACACTGATTCTTGTATCATATCTGGTTCAGCTACGGTGTATGCCCATCTCTGAAAGTATACTTTGATTCAATTTATTTTAAAATGCAGGTGTCAGGTTATCGAGTTTAATGTCCTCATTTCCTTACGCATCAGCCAGTGTATTCTGACCCTCCCCCCCTCATATCTTCCTTCTGACTCTGTACCCTGGCTTCGGTGCTCATGGGTGCAGTTGAAAACAGACTACAAGCTACCTCCTCACCATGGATTCTTTGATAAGACTGATTGAGCATGTGCAACGATGTGCAACATTTGCTGCAAAGATGTTTGCCTGATGTAGTATATACAAGCAAACATCTCTGGGAAACAGGCAGAATTCGGGCATAGCTTCATTTATCACTGTGAAAGTAGCTCTCCCTACAAACACACTTCATTCCACATACAGCCAAGGAAACAGGAGAACAAACTGAGGAAGGGCATCTTTCAGCCCCTCCTGTGGCTGCAGCAACTATCACCTGGTCAGAGCAGAAACAATGCTGATGATGACTTCTAGAAATTTCCTTCCTTGAATTACCCACAATTAACTGCTTACATCATCATTTCAAAAGATTTTTAAAACTCAAGGAGTACTTCCCCCTGTGAGAATTTCCTCATGAACAGCTGAAAACAAACAAGGAATAGTCCTGCTTATTGGTCCCTTCATGGCATGTCCAGGGTATAAAAGCCCCAGGACTGAAACAGTTGTCATAATCTCAGGAACCCCTGTGAACAGAACCTCTCCCTCCACATCCAACACCATGACCAGCTCCTGTTGCTCCCCTTGCTGCCAGCCTACCTGCTGCAGGACCACCTGCTGCAGGACCACCTGCTGGAGACCAAGCTGTGTGAGCAGCTGCTGCCAGCCCTGCTGCCAGCCCAGCTGCTGTGGCTCCAGCTGCTGCCAGCCCAGCTGCCAAACCACCTGCTGTAGGACCTGCTTCCAGCCAAGCTGTGTGAGCAGCTGCTGCCGCACACCCTGCTGCCAGCCCTGCTGCTGTGTGTCCAGCTGCTGCCAGCCCAGCTGCTGCCAACCCAGCTGCTGCCAGCCCAGCTGCTGTCAGCCCAGCTGCTGCCAGCCCAGCTGCTGCGAGTCCAGCTGCTGCCAGCCCAGGTGCTGTATCTCTAGCTGCTGCCAGCCCTGCTGCCAACCCTGCTGCAAGCCCTGTTGCAAGCCCTGCTGTGAGCCCTTCTGCCTCAACCTGTGCTGCCAGCCAGCTTGCTCTGGACCTGTGACCTGCACCAGAACTTGCTACCAGCCCACATGTGTCTGTGTACCTGGCTGCCTGTCCCAAGGCTGTGGGTCCAGCTGCTCCCAGCCTTGCTGCTGATGACTCTATATTCAGTCACATGGTAGCTTGCCATCATCTAGTCAAAATTCTCCAACGGAATTACTCTGTGCATTTTGCCATCATTAGCTATCAATGGGTTATCTTCCTCTGCATGATTGTGGGTGTGTGCTTGATGAGAGAGAGCTCACTCTTCTCATTGGTCTCTTTAAATCTTCTCTTGACCTCAGGCTATGTTGCTCACATTCTCTACAAGCAATGTGAGCAAAGCAAACCTTCATTTGTCTTTCTTAACCCTCCTCGGTGATGAATGATTTCATTTCCCAGGGTATTCCTGTTCTCTTCACCATTGGGCTCACTTTAAAATGTCTCCTGGTTTGTATGTGTTCTAAATAAATCTGCATTTGCTTTCTGAAAATGTCTGGATGCTATTTTGTCTTTTCCTGGATCTCTATGTGCTCCAATAGTATTTCCTTGGCAACAGCTTATATTCTGAATGCCTTTCACCTCCATCATCAGTGCATGGTCCACCAATAGCCTCATAACATGTTCAGAACCAACAAACGTTCCTTATTCCTTATCCATTGTCATCTGCGACAACACTTGGGTCTTGTCTTAGCTCATGGCACTTTCACTTCCATCTCCCTCCAAACATAAATAACTAGGGATTGTGAAGGAGTGCCTGGCTCTGGCCTCTCCTGCACGGCAAACCTTCACACGGTAATGCACAGGGCACATTTCAGAGCACAGGAAAGTGAATGACAGCAGTGCAGTCACGGGAGCTATGCTGGATAACCAACGAAGAGGATGGCTAAGAAAAATGTGGTTTCCAAACATCCTGGATATTTTTAGCCATAGAGAAGAATGAAATTATGTTTTCCCCCTGGAGAAAGTTGATGCAACTGGAGACAAATGTGTCCATTGATGCAACTGGAGACAAATGTGTCCAGTGAATTAAGAGAGGGACAGAAAGACAAATATCCTATTTTAGTTTTGGCTCCTAGATTTTATAGACTCACATAAAGTCATTAATGTACATATTGCATGAAAGTAGAAATGAAGCTCTGCCATTTACCTAAACCAATAGAATTTCTAGCTGTAGAACCATGGACCCAGACGTGGTGTTCACTAGCAGCTTAGGCCTGGATGTAACCATGGCCCCAGTGGCAACACAGGCCACTGGGATCAGTATGACCACAGCAGCAGCATGAAGACCCCACCTTTTTTTTTTTTTTTTTTTTTTTTTGGTTTTTGAAGACAGAATTTTTCTGTATTGCTTTGGAGCCTGTCCTGGAACTAGCTCTACAGACCAAGCTGGCCTTGAACTTACAGAGATCCTCCTGCATCTGCCTCCTGAGTGACCTCACTTCTTAAAGGTCCTACTTAATGGTCCACAGCCAGGGATCAAGCTGTCAGCACAAAAACCTTGGAGAAACATACCATCCCTGAGCCACAGCAGGGTAGGTTGCACAAATCTGTAATATCTATTCTAACAATTGCTGCTGCCCACATTCTACACTCATCAATAATACTGTTAGTGTGTGGTTTGAGCAGGAAAGTGCTTTCGAAAAAACAATACAAAGTGCCACACTGAATCACAGACACTATGAATTATAATTGTGAAATATTAAGTTGTTTCTGCCGTATCAAGGCTATACAAATACATCCATTATGTCTATTATAGTCAAGGCCGATCATTAAATGTCCTTCCAAAACCCTAAGAATTAAAACAACGGCATACATATTGTCATAAAAGATAAAATATCTAGAATAAATCTAATGAAGCTATGTGAGACCTCTAGATACAACATTATGGGAATTTCACTAAGGAATTTCTCAAAGATTTACTTTAATTTTCAGTGTGTAGGTATGTGTGTAAGCATGTGAGTGAGCGGCATGTGTGCTAATGCCTGAAGAGGCCAGAAGAGAACACTGGATCCCCTGGTGCTGCAGTCCTAGGCAATTATGAGCCATCCGACACCGGTGGTGGGGCCTGAACTCAGGTCCTCTGCAAGAGTAACACGTGTTCTTAACTGTTGTGCCTCCTCTCCAGCCACGAACGAAGCAAATTTATGAGCAATTCTGCTCTTAGGTATTTTACTTTAAAAAAAATCCATCTATTAACCAAAAGATGATTTCACAACCTTATATAACAGAATTTTTTTTACTATTTTGATAATCGCAAATTGCTGATCATACCACATGAAGAACAATAGAGGACAGAAATTATGCCCTATCCATTTACTGAGAGACTATAAACCAATGGTAATGAATGAAATACCTGGATGAACTGATGGTGATAGCATACATAAAAGTAGCAAAATGAATGTTGAACTTGTGGGAGCTTTGAGTAATCTGAATACCGTGGATGACCTGGAGTCTGCTATCTCAGAGAAGAGTACAGAGACGGTAGAAAACTCAATCAGAATCTTCATAGGGAATAAGACTAAGCACAGGTTCCCCTAATTAACTATGAACACATGTGAAAGTACTATTTAGAAATCAACATGTATAGTTGTTTTCTAATTCTGTAGTCGTCGTATTAAGAATATCCCACTTTTAGCAGAAATTTATAATGGGACAAAAATAAGAACATTCACAAATGCATAGAAAGTGAAAATCTTGCTCCTGGAACCCCATTTTACTTACAATATTGTGAATAAAGATTCATGGTATCACTGACATAGAATCCGGTCACCTCAAATAAATAAATAAATAAATAAATAAATAATCTGCTTTCCTCGATATTTTTCAAACTAAAATAGACCTGGGGAATTAATTGTCAAAATTGTTGTGCAAAATTAAGATTACAAGTCACAAGTACAAATAAAACATGATTATTCTAAGACTCACAGTACAATGTTATAGCACACTTCCAGCTAGATTACCTTCATTTATTTTTAAACCCATAGCTTAAAATAGTCTACAACAGTATATGAAGCACAAACATCAATATTTAAGTGAAAAACAACCTTCACATTTTATCAATTTCTGTTCTCAACTCATTGGAAATTCATGCTGAATATGGTAAACCTCTGAAAATCGGGCAAAGGGTTTCAAATATGAGACTTTCTATTTGCATAATACATATGCTTTGACTTAGAGATCTGACTTGGAGAAAAGTGTAGTCTGCTATTTTTTACTGTTAAAAGTGAATGGTAACTATTACTATCAAATTCCCTAGCTATGGTTTGTTGGGATGTGTGTTTGAATATTGTCTCGGCGCTTGCACATGCCTAGCATTTTGACTTCATAAAATGGGAAAGCAGTTCTTTGTTCTTATTTGTGGGTACTCTCCCATGCATTGCAAAGAATAAACAAAATATAAAGCTAAAAAATGTAGCAAAATATATACTACTTTGCTCACATAAATTTTAAAGATAACTGGAAGCAACCTATAATTTATTATATTAATAAATAGATGTGAGGAGATTCTACTCTTAGAAGACAGTGTTAAGTTCGATTTCTCAATGTCGTTATATTGACTTGGGCATGTTCATCTTGTGAAGAAGTTATAAACTAATAATTTCAACACCTTTTAATGAACATTGTGTTGCAACAGCTTGACACAAGGCCAAGTCATCTGCAAAGAGGGAGCCTCAGTTAAGAAAATGCCAGGTGTAACAAACACAATCACAGACACTATATTCATAACTGATTTCCCATTGTGACATAGGACATGGATTGGTACGTATATGTGGATGTGTGCATATGTGTATGTGTTGTGTATGTTTCTGTTGTAAAGAAATATGAAGATCATATGTAAATAGTTTGTTATTCGTGGTTGAATTTCATTTATTCCATCTTATTATTATCTATAATGGTAGAGTCTACTATCATCCCCCAAATGAAAAATGGTCTGTTCTGTTTGAACTCAAACATGAATGTGGGATTTTAAGCCCACATCTATGATTTGTGTTTGTTTTAGCACACAATTTGTATTCAAAATCTTCAATTTTCAATTTGAGTTGTATGATAGTGGAATTGAGCAACTTTTCTATGTTAGATAATCACCTACTTTTTCTTTTTAGTGTTTGTTTGTTCATAAAATTTACTTGGACATATTCCACAGATTACATGGCATTTTTCTTAGTGGCTACCATGAGTTTTTGATTTGGCTGTCAGGATTAATCTTACATACAAACATAGTTTTCAAGAAACAACACAATTTCTTAATAATAATCTTATTCAAATTGTAAATATGTTTGGTTTGTCATTGCTGGAAATTAAGTTTGAAACAATCCATGGCTCTCAGCTGCTGCTATGCCTCATTTTCTCCCCAGAAAAAATAAACAAGTTTTTATTGAACACTAAAGGAAAAGAAAGAAAGAAAGAAAGGAAGAAAGAAAGGAAGGAAGGAAGGAAGGAAGAAAGAAAGAAAGAAAGAAAGAAAGAAAGAAAGAAAGAAAGAAAATGTCTCCATTAAGATTTATTCACTTTTCCATCTAAATAAATCTGGTGGGTCTAGAGTACTCATGGTTGCTTAAAATATCTGCCTGTGTCCAGTTGTCTAGTATATTAGTCATAGATATAGACAGTTTTATAGCTAAGGTGATTCATTGATGATGTACCTAATACCATTTGGCTGTGAAGTCCTGAGGTTAACCCCTTACAGGGCAAAACAAGGCAAACAGTGGCAAAATTAATCAAGCTTTTCTTTCATATTTAGATATTCTCTACATATGTGTTTTCTTCATTACAGTTTTAGCTTAGTCTTTTTTGATAAAATCTTAGGAATATTTTTAAAATAAACTCTATTTTCTTCATTCCAAAAAAATAAAATGCCTCCATAAGATTGGGCTGTCCACAGCTTATATGACATTTTCTTGATGAATGATTGATGAGGAAGGGTTCAGCCTATTGTGAGTGGTGCGATCCCTGGCCACCCTGGAAGCAGGATGAGCAAGTCTTGAGGAATAAGCCAGTAAGCAGCACCCTTCATGGCCTCTGCATCAGCTCTATCCTCCAGGTTCCTGCCCTGCTTGAGCTCCTGCCCTCACTGCACCAGATACTGAACTAGTAGTATATGGAGCTGTGAGTGA